GGGCAAGTAGATTTCCTCTTCAAGGCTACCCATAACACTTTTTCTCATGTAATTTCTTTAACAAGCAATAGAAACTAACAATTACTTTCAATTGGTACAGTTGGTTAGTGGCTTCAACAACTGTGGCTTCGACTGCTGCATATGGAGCACAACACATGAGCAAAAGATCTGCCTTGATAACAAGGAAATCTTAGTTTGAATCTGCAAAAACAAATGTTGTTGGCAATTAGTCGGGTACCCTTAACTTCATGGTACCAAGCAAGTACAGTTAAACTCGGAAAGAGAACAAAAATGATTGATACTTTTTGCAAAGAAAGAAGGAAGCTCGGAATTAACTGGTTCATGCTTGAGTATGAATTGTAGATGGAATGCTTGCACAGTGAGGTTGTAATGCACGCCCGATTAGTAGTGCAAAGGGAAAGGCAATTAGGGAAATTTTGGATAGAATGTAATAACAAAAACAGATGATCTTTGTTTGGTAGAACAGAAAATATGATCATGTCAAATTATGACTTGATTCTCTGTAGCATTATATTTTGAGAAAAGCCTTACTCATGAGTTTTCTTTTTATGTTTCTTTGTTGTATGATAAGTTAGTGCACCCTAGCACCTTGAGAAAATTTTAGTTAGCAGCCATGCTTGCTTCAATTGAATGTTGCTTTAGTATCAATAAACCTTGATTGTGGTGACTTGATTTGGCAGAAGGATAATTTGTTGTATTCTCAGTTAATTTCAGTTTTATTTATCAATTTATTAACATTTAGTTTTAGAACAAAATCAAGCTAGTTTGTCAAGACACAGCGGTTGTTCTCAACTTCTTATACAGAATCAATAAATTGGTCAAGAGAATAAAACTAGGTGATCCGGTTACTCGGGTAACAGGGGTATTTTGAGGCAAATAAAAAAGATTTACCAATGTAAAGCTGCTTGAATGCGGCATGGCAGTTGGAATGCGGTAAAGCTGCTTGAGGGCATCCAAGGAAATGGTCCATTATCTGTCTCACCAGAAGGAAAATCTAACCCAACTAATTCATAGCAGTTTTAATTTCTGGAGCAAACTAGAGTAGCTATCAAGCATGATGGCCAGGGTAAGCCCTGAACAAGAAGAGCCTTGACTAATTAAATCAAATTCTATTTCTCCAGAAATTCCCCAAAAGCTATCATAACTGAAACTTTTTATGGCCAATACAACTGTGCCACCCAAGACCCACCTGATCACCAAATTTTCACAAGGCAGATTTAGACTCCACAATAATCTAATTAGAACCTCCATTGATGTATGAACTTTCAGTTTTCTCAATGTACCGAAACGCATGGGGATGAACTTTCAGTAAATACCAACCTTTTAAGTAAGTATGAATTTCCTGCACCTCAATTATGACCTAACCTAAGCCCCACAAATACTAGGCAACCAAGTTTTCTACAAGGCAATAATCTTGTCAACAAAACCATTAACAATTTATAATATCAACTTGGACGAGAATACTTCCAAATGGACATATTTCATAAGCTTATGATCTCAGTAAAAAGTGTTCTTGCTAAATATCAACCTCCTATCCTGGTCAAAAGCAATGTTTATTTGCAGAAGTTCCAGCCCTTAACATCACGGCTGTAAGTTCAAAACTGTCCTGTGTGCAATATAACATTCTTCACCACCTTTAGTACTCCTCTGTAACAAAAGGTTAAAGGAAGCAGCCACCACCAAATCAATGCATGAGGGGTTCAAAGCAATCTCAGCGCAATGAATGCATGAATTAACTCCTCATGCCATTGACAAATCAATGGAGTCTCACAAAGTAATCACAGGAATTCTAGCAGGCACCCGAAAACTAATAAAAACCAGAGGCAATGACACGAAGTACTCCAAGATTGAATCACTAGCAAAGCAGAGGACAAGCACAATATACAGATATCAAAAATATGTTTCCAAAGTGACATTACAGGCCCAAAATCCCACAACCGAGACTGTCAAAATGAAACCCTATCTTCCATTAACAAGGAGATGTTATTAGTAATCCGACTGAGGTAAATGCTAAGATGGGATTTTCAAACTGAATAAAAAATATAATTTATCATGCGAGATTGAGACAGATTTCAACCTCAGATGAAAGAAAATCGCCATTTTTCTTCCCTACTGAGACAACTCTGCTTCTATTTCATTCCACGTATCTGCATTCTTCTTAAAGCGCTCCTTTATTTGCTTAACAAGTTCCTTTGCGTCGTCAACCTTTGAAATGCTCGCCAGCCCATTGACAAGTGACTTCATTGTTGTAAAATTTGGAACGAACCCTGTCTCCATACTCTCCTTACAAACGCTCAACGCAGTCTCGAAGTCCTTTCCTTGTGTCAAAAAGTGAACAAGAGTAAAGTAACAATCACTGTCCGGCTGACAACCCCTGTTCCTCATAGTCTTGAACAAGCTCTTAGCTTCCTCAAAATTCCCTTCCGCGCAGAACCCAAAGATCAAATTATGGTAAGTAACCGAATTAGGCTTCATCCCTCTCGACACCATCCCATCAAACAATGCTTTGGCCTCTGCGGTTCTCTTCAGTTTACACAAACTCTTAATCCTGATATTGTAAATGGAGATCCCTCTTTGCACCCCACGTTCCTCCATCATCTTCAACACCTTCCCAACATCTTCGTACTTCTCCTCCTTGTAAAACCCAGCGAGCAAATGCCCGAAGCTCGTGACATTCGGTTTCACCCCTTTCCTGTCCATCTCCGCCAGCACAGAGTACACTGAGCTTGACGAACCCGACTCGGTAAACGCCTTGATCACAGTGTTATACGTCTCCAAATCGGGCTCGACTCCGTAAATTTTGGGGAATTCGAGGAAAATCCGCTTCACTTCCTTGTAATCTTTAGCCAAAATGCAAGCGAATAGCAACGCATTCAAGGATTTCGTGGAACGAGGAATTCCCGCTTCGTTTAACTCCTTGAAGGTCCTGACGGCATGGTCGAGCATGTTGGCCTGACCGTAGAGGACAATAGCGTGGGCACCGAAACGCTCCGTTTTGAGGTCGGGTCGGGCCTTGAACTCCTCGAGCAGCTGAGAAATCGAACTGAAGTGGTTAGACTTTGAGAGGTTGTCGATGGCAACGGAAAAGGCGATGCGGTCCAGGTGGTATTCGGGAGTGAGCGAGGCGGCCCGACAGATGTCAAGGATCCGACTCGGGTCCTTCTCCGATTTGAGGAGAGACAGTGCAGCTCTGGTTTTCTCCTTCGAAGTTAATGGGGTTTTTGAATCTTGAGAGAGAATCGAAGCAGCGGAGAAATGACGACAGTGGTGGCGCAGAACTGAACTTGTACGGATTCGAGAAAAAAGAGCCATTTACTTCACCCTTATTATGATAGTGGTAGAGAAATGCGAGAGAGAGGTTAGTGTTAAGGGTGTTAATGGACGAGAAAAGAAATGCACCAGGAAATAGGGTTTTGGCTGAATGATCAGATAGCTACAGTTTACAGTAGCCGATTGGTGCTCCACTGCGTCTTAAAAAAAAAAAAGAACGGCGATTGTCTCGGAGGAGGAAAAAGGTGATCCGATAAGGGAATTGAACCCGACGTGAATCGAACACGCAACCTTCTGATCTGGAGTCAGACGCGCTACCATTGCGCCACGGATCCTTGCTGTATCTTTCCCAATGATTATTTACTTAATTCATCTTTTCCAACATATGGACCCTCGAGATCCAGGCCCGAGCCAAGGCCCAGGCCGAATCCCTGTACAAATAGGAAACCTTTTTTTCTTTAACTTTCCCTCCAAGTTTCTGTCCGTATGTACATGCAGCTCCCGATCCCGATCAGTATCGTAACGGAATTCGGCGATTTAGGAAACCGCCGCTCCAACTCCGACAAGTACAAGGACACATAAAATACATATAATACTCCTCCTTTACAAATAAATCTAGCTCGTCTTCCCTTCCTGCTTTCTTTTAATAATTTCTTATCGTCTCTTTCCTGATCATACCAATGGTTACAACCAGCTCGTTGACTCTCGACACCAACGTAATTCCACTCCAATTGCTACCCTCCGTAGCCATTCATGTCCGGCTAACCAGATTTCAAAAGACAATATCCTACGACGTTAACGGCGAGGAAACTCTCACGGACGTCCGTCAGCTCTCTCCAGCCTCCGTCTTCGCCTTCACCGTCCGGGATTTTCGCAGTCAACCGATCACCTCATCGTACCTATACATCCACGCGAAGCTCATGGGGGTCTTCTCTGACCCTCAAGTCTGCGA